CCTAAAACTAAATTTTCCTACAAAGATTATGCACAAAAAAAAAAGAGCTGACCTACCCTTTTATTTGTTCTGTACTTTAAGCAGACCTTTTTATCAGGCTGTGTTCAATTTGTGACTGTTCAGCATTTTGCAGTAACTAAAACTTCTTCCTGTTTTTGTATTTCTGTGTTTTTTCCCCCCTGCTTTTCCTCACACTTTGCCTCYCTATCCTCTCCCCTGCTACACCCCTAAGAGCCCAGCTGAGGGATATGGACCCACCTGTCATCCTGTGGGACACACTGTGCAATAAGTGCTCATATTCTTCTGTCACTTGAAGCCAAACTCTCAGAATCATTGTGTTGCTATTCACATATCTAATAAATAGCTCAATGAGCTAGAGCAAAGCAAACTGTAGAACTGAGACCTCTTTTTGTACAGATAAGTTAGAAATCAGAATTGTTTGGATAGGGAAGGCAAAATTGAGYGAGGGCAGGACTTATCTTACTGCCAGTGCTTGGTGCCATGAAGATTTGCTCCCAAAGTTGCTGCCKGTTGATCTGACACTTCTCTTATTATCTCTGAAATTTCACTTTATTTTCATTATTGCTATGTCACAAAGCTAAAGATGACTAAACTAATATCCAAAATTTGGAGGGATAAAAAGGACATMATTAGCTTTTTGGATCCTGCAGATAGGCTTTTCCCCCTGTTTGAAGGTTGTCATAAATAATGCAAGACTGAACAGATCGTTTATTTACAATCATGAGGAATGTTTTAATAATTCAAAAGCTCTGTCCTGTTGCAGCACTAATCTTTTMACCAATCAAAAGAGTATGAGCAGGTTATCCTCATGATGTGCAGAGTATGTTCTGGGCAGGRAGCAAAACAGAGCCAAATGACATAAAAACTCTAATTCAATCTTATTTAATTTTGTTTTGTTTTGTTGTATTCTTCCATATTTAATTKCTGTTTTGACAGGCTTTTGTCTGAGTCTTCAAAAAATGTCATCAACTGCATATGGCAAACAGCACAACAGTGAAAAGGAAGCTATGGCAGTACAGGTACTCACATATTTAGAAAAACAATTTACRAGTTGGTCATAATATATTGCACAGTGTCTCATGGTTTTCCTTTTGAGACATGTTAACAGAATATATTTGCAACAAGCAAATATATTCTCAGAATTATGTCACTTGTACCCCATAAAATTGTTAAACAACACTCCAGGTGATGTCTGGCAGTGAAAACTATTGCATTTAAGTATGACGAGATGTGTATTTCAGTCTCAACTGATTCTGTTGGTGTGTTTTTCATGTGCAACAGATTAAAAGATTATAAAGAGGGTAGATTATAGAATAAACACTTTTTCAGAACTTTAGAATACAGGCGAGGCAGATGAGAAGTAAGAGATCCCACAGACCCAGGTGATAGRGGCTCAGTGACTGGATTAATACAAGAGTTTCTTTTTTGCTTGCTTTCCTTTCAAATATCAAGTTACTTGTGAAGACAGTGAGCCAAGAAGAGGAATTAGCCMGTTCTTGAAATTTCATACAGGTAATTTATCAAACAAAATAGTTTGTAGGGGATACAAGGAGACTGGGATCTGCTTCAGTCTTCCAGTGAAACTKTGATCACCTTAAAATGCTTCCCATAGAAAATGAAACTTTTACCTTGAAATGTAGRTGTCAGTTGCCTCTGCTATTGCAGGCTAGTAGATGAACCTCCATATGTATCTTTTTGCATGTGGTGTGCCTTGATAAACAAATATTCTTCAGAATATGCAATCTGAACAAAATCAGTTTTGGGTATTGCACTGCTGGAGTATGTGGTGTGCATAGGATGTGTCAAACAGGCCGGCACTCRGATTGGTAATGACTGAGCTGTTGATTTCTGTCTTCCATTTTGACAGTTTACCCTCCTGTATATATGTTATGGCAGCAGAAATGGCAGTAGAGTGTCTCAGAGTGAAACAGCAGYGAGACAATGACAAGAGAAATCATTACACATGTAAGTACGTGCCCTTAAAACTAGAGAGGAGCTAGGGGACAATGTGGGAGGTTCTGCATGAAAGTGAAATGCAACATGGCAAAACTTCATAAAAGATTAGAACTAGCCAGGCAAAYGGAAGTTACCCTACAATGACAGCATTGAGAGCAAACTTGAGACACATTCCGCATGTTTTTCAGGGCACAGAGCAAAGCCAAAAGAAAGCTCTCAAAATCATTTAAACTTTATTAGACAACACGTCTGTACCCACAAGGCTCATTAGACTAACAWCTCTGAATGTTATAAAAACCCAAGCAAGTGAAAGTACCTCTGTCACTGAGATCTCATTCTTTTGTAAACAGTAAACTCCCCACCTCTCTGCTGCCTGAGCACAGAGRAGCAGAACATGCACATGCTGAGCATTACCAGCTCATGACAGTCACTCCCGTATCAAGGCAGCCTCTGGCTACTTCAGGAGAGATGCTGTTACGTCATTAYTTTACCGTACACTTATGGAGCTGAKGACATTTAATTCAGCMCATTTTCTGAGCTTTGTCAGCACTTGATCTCAAGTGCCTGATCATAAATATGCAACTAGTCGGGTGTTATGCTGGTACTTGAATTTATACTCACCATAAAGCATAGCTCCTCCAGTTTCATGTAGAAAGCGGAATCGATGGTTTTTAAACAACCAAATGGTTAATATTGTAAGAATGAGTAGAAAGTTAAAGATTAGCAGTTCCACAGCTCCCTGATGATAAAAGTGATCTTCATCTTTCACTGAAATATATTTCTTCAACTTCTCCATTTCATTCCCTTTATATAAAGTATGGGAAAAATAAAAGGAGAAAGAAAAAATCACCGGAAGGAAAGTGTTGTCACCTTTGGTACAAAAAGTCCAGACACTACAGAAATTCACAGCAAGCACATCTGTTTCATTTGCAGCCTCATGGTAAAGTGCCCCAGCTCAGAATTCAGCTGGATTCTAGTTACAGCTTCCTGTTTCTCTCTTAAAGCTGCCCTGTCTCATTTTTAATGTTACAATTGTGTCGCTGGACTGCGCTTGCTCTGCCTGTGAAGGCACAAATTGCCTCCAAAGCTCACACTCTCCATTTCTAAAATTCTATTGTAAAACTCAGCGTGTGTTCATAATGTTTTTTTCCCAGTAGTTTACAGCACAATCTGAATCCTGAAAGTCATATTCTGTCTTTACAGTTTAAGAGGGAAAAAATATGTTAAAAAGATTGCWTAGCAACCTTTACTACATTTTGGAAGTTTAAGAACCTTTCCTGTTTCCCACTTTCCCATGCTTAAATATGACATAGAATAAAGGTGGCACTTTACTGTGGTGCAAARGCAGAAGAAGCAAACAAATCAATGAATAAGGATTTCAAGATTTAGGCACTTGTATTGATCCTGCCAGAAGACTGAGATCTCTGTAAAAGCCAGGKTCCAATTACCTAGAATTACAAGTACTGAAACCTCCCTATTGAACTGAGCTAAAAATGGAATTTACTTTCCATAATTTTRGTTGATTGCATGTTTTGTTTACTCAATTCACTATTCAATTAAACCAGAAAAACAGTAGAAATACTCTATGTATAGCAAATACTCCTGGCCTTTTCTGTTGGAGCTCAAGGCTGTATGTATAGAGAATTCCAAACAAACTCTAACCTTCATCAGAGAAAACARCAATTCTGCTTCTCACTATAAAAAGATAATCTTCTTATTATTTGATGTTAAAATTTCCTAAATTAAAAAAAAAATAGCAAACTAATCTGTGCAGAATCCTTTCCAAGTCAGGTAAATAAGGTGAATAACCCACGAGTACCCAGCTGTCCATGATCTCAGTAATTTCAGGGCTRTAGCTCAGTGTTCCTGAGGAGGCACTGTTGCTTCAATCAATCCTACCATGTTTTGAAATATTTTTTTTCTTGATAATCAATCAGTTCTGTCSTCTGCATAAGCTAATAGGTAATGTGGTGACATTTGGCACCTATAGGCTGCTCAGAGGGAGGAAATTTAGTTTCTTTAGCAAATTTTCTCTATGTACAGTTTTGTAAACAAGGATGAGTCKGAGTAGATGAGGAGCAGCTCTACTGAGAAAGTAGACATATCCATGAAAAAGTGCATAGAAAAAAAACAGTATGGTCTCAGAAAAGCTTATCAGGTTTTGCAACAAGATCTCACTTGAAAAACTGTTGGCAATGTGACCAGGTAATCTGATTTTTTTTTGTGTTCAGATCTTTCTACATTCTTACAGGTAACCCCATTTTCAATGGTATCCAGGCCCTTCAGCAATTTCCCTTYCTAAATGAAATAACTTGTCTCCAAGTTTTGGATGGTTTGCAGTTTAGATAGGACAGCAATGTGTTGCAACAGCTGCATCGTATTTCCAATATTAGTAACAATTAGATAAAGATGATAAATTAAGAAGGAAGAGAACTTGATAAAATAGAAAGTTACATTTAGGCTTTCAGAACAAGCTACAAGGTGAATGAAGGAAGTGGATGGCAATATGTTGAGTAATTCTCATGATACCATATTCTTACTATAAATAGTATTTTCTTCCTCTCCTCTGGCATGTAATTTTAATGAACAAGTAGTAGTCTGTAGCAGTCTTACTTATTTTTTATTTTCACCTTATCAACTTTATGGATTTCAGAGAACAATAATCCTTTTCTCACTTAGCTTGGCAGATGTGGAATTCTGCTGTTATTCAAGATGGAATAGAAAGCAAGAGGAGTCTTGTGAATCAGTAGAGGGATTCTCACCTTGGAAGATGCTATAAGAAAAGGAGCATAATGTAAAAATTGTAATTAATTATAGTTAGTGGGAATTCCAAGCAAAGACACAATGCTTCAGCACCACTGGCAATTCTGCAAGTGTAAGAAAAGTACAGACAAGAGTAAAAGCAAACTCTGAAAACAAGTGCATCTATATATATAATTAAAAGACCAAGCAAAACCAACTTTGAAGCGGAGAAATCAATCACATTGTGAGTACACAGATAACAAATGTTCTGTCACAGCTCGCTTGCCTAAAATCCCCAGACAGCCTGGAACRGGATTAGTGGGATCACAAGTGGTTATCCTTCTCTAATCCATTCCAGCCAAGAAGATCGGCCTTGCTAGCTCCTGTTCTGATACACAACTGCCCAGCAAATACTGTGGCTAAGGCCACTTAAGGCCACTAAGCCCACAGTGGTGGCCTAAGTGTCATTTATAACTGCCAGGCCTCTATGTATTTTAAAATCTCTTCTTCTGCTGCTTAGAATAGTCTGCCTATGAAATCAGTTTATTCGCTGCCGGTTGCTATTGATCTTATTCTCTTTTTTCCTGAGGTCAGACTCTGGTTTTCCTATTCCTTATTTGATATTGCTGGTATTCAATCTACATGGGCTTACAGAGACACTAGTGATAGAAATAAATCTCCATAATCTATATATTTTTTTATGTTACAGCTATTACACTTAGCTGAAAAATAGCTTTAAAAATAATTTACGCTTACTGGAATGCAGCTTTCTATCCAGAAGGTAAAGTCTGTTTTGTTTTTTTTCCCCTCAATGGTTCAGAGCCTATTTTACTGAATTATTAAAATACAGTRCTAATTATGATGAATATACATTGAATTGCATGTTCCATATACATGGAACTGKACTTTTAATCTCRTAAGACTTGTGATACTTYTGCTCATATGTCACTGTCTCCAGGYGTTGCATCAACACAGGAAAATMTTTTCTCCCTTTTGAGCATGAATGAATTTGATGCACCCTGTGATGTAACAACCAGGTCAACACCCTCTAATCATCATGCTGGAATCTTCCTGCACAGACCAAATTCAGCACAGACCTGAAATGCTCATGTGTGCTTTTCTCACTGAGAAGACAGAAATGCCAGCCCGTCAGGAGAAATGAAAGCTCTGAAAGACAAAAAGCCCTTTGGTTCTATGAGTTGTTCCAGTAATCTGTTCCTGTTTAGACAGTTGTAGCGAATGTTCAGAATGAAGATGAATTCTTACAAAATTGTGGCAAACTGATACTAYCTTTTGTGAAGTTTAAATTAATCCACATTATTGAATGTCAGGATTATGAAGGAAATATTTCCAAGTTTATTTCTGAGTGGGCTTAATGTTCATTCTCAGCTTGGACTGCTGCCCTGTGGTATTCTTTTTTTATATTTTAATTAACTGAAAAACAATCTAGCTAATTTTTATCTTTACAATTTTTTTTTAATATTTTAATTAACTGAAAAACAATCTAGCTAATTTTTATCTTTACAATTTTAAGTTAAATCTTTCTAAGTTACAGTTTCCTAGTGGTAGCCTACTTTGGGGAGCTGATTCATGTTCAGCTCAGAACTGTGGACTTGTGCATATCCACTAGTTTAAGTTTAGTTTCCTATAAAAGCRGGCAATGCATCAGTCTCACAGATTAGGCTACAGACTAGAAGGTGTGCAGTAAAAACTGAGGCGAAAAGGTCATTGAATTCCTTTGTCTTTTCCATTTCCTTTGTCTCTTCCAGTTTCTCTACCCCACTGAGCCTGGGTCTACATTTGCAGGAGCCACTTTTGCTGCTCTTTTGCTTCTACACCTACTGAGTTACGACTCTGTTTCAGCATTTCTGTGTATGCTCAGGAATTGTCTCTGAGTTACCTGTTTCTGCTACTGTTTCTCTACTTCCTTTTCCCATTTGAGCTCAGCCAGGTGTTCCTTCTTGATCCACACCAGCCTTCTGCGATGTTTGCTTGACTTTCTSCCTGTTGGGAGGTCTTTGTGGTTTGAAACAGCTCTCATTGAGATCAGTCTCTCCTGGGCTGTTGATAKTAATACCCCACATGTCCATAACGACAGTGATAGCACATCACTGATTCATTTGTGTTGGGTAAACAGCAACTACAGAAATAAAGCTGAATCCAGGATTGCCATACCACAGCAGCCTCACTGTCATTGCTATATAAGCCTTAAAAAAACCCCCCACCACAGGAAAAAAATACCCCTCAAAACAAAAAAAAAAAAAAAAACCCCCAAAAAAAAAAACAAACCAAAAAAAAAAACAAACCAAAAAACCCACAAAGGCTGCCTGACAAAGTATTTCACTACAACACTTTTTGTTTTACTCAGGTTCATTGTTCATTCATTGTTCTTCAGTGTGTCATTGGGTGACTTCTGTTTCAGATACAAATTATATTACATTGTACTGTGTTGTAACAAAATGCTAGTAAGGAATGTGGGAACAGATGCCTGATTTAACGGCCTCGCATGACAAGGGCCACTCTTTTTCCCTTAGTAGAATCTGAAAGGAAATCCCACTAGAGGGCTCTCGTTACACATGAAATGGAAATCTGACTTTAGTACTACTGGGTCTTTAATCGATTTTTCAGGTTGAAGATAGGTTTTGGTTTATTTAAACTAAGCATTGTAGTGCAGTATACAGTACATATATCAGTATACTGGATAGCATGCTGTTTGGAATACATAATTACTGGTGTGACTTCATTTTCAGAGGAAGYGTGCTGGTCCAACTGAGTTATTTTTAGTTTGTGAACAGGAACATTTTGGATAATTCCTAATTAAATTAAACATCTTGCCCAAATTCTTACTTCCATTAGATCAGTAGGAATAAGATTAGTCTGAAGTTGTTATTTTATAGGTTCTGCCAATATCACAACCTTATTTTTTTGGTGGGGACTTATGTTTACATATGCTGGCCTTTCTTAGGTGCAGATAACCCTGCTATCTTCCTACCTCAGAGCCTAAAAGTATATCTTACAGAAATAGACMTATAATTAACAATGCTGTTTTCATCCCTATCAGTATCCAAATAGCAGCTGTTCCTTTTTTCATTCCAACACTGTTTTAAAACTTGTAAATAAGTAACATTAAGAATRGTTAATCATAATTTCTATGTAATTGTACTGTGCTATCAGCAGCAGTGTTTCAAGAGAACAGATTGTGTTCTTCCATTTTGAAG